CTTTGATCCAGGAAAGATCTTTTCAATATCAACTCCCGCCCAGCACCAACAACCTGATCGACAACAATAGCAAAGTGCTGGTCGACCCTTGGACCCAATCCCAATCTACCAAGCGCTAGCGAAAACAACAACACTTTTTTTTTTCTGCGTCGGCGTTTGGCACTCTCAATTCACCTCGCATAACAAACCGGCAAGGGCGACATGGTATTGCCTGCAAGGGATATTGGGGTGCGCGCAGGGGAATCTAGTGGATCTCAATCCGCTTTCGTCGTCCGTTTCCCAGAGGATGTATGGGGTCTACTGGAAAGTTCCGAAGGGGTTACAATTTCAATGAAAGATGGCATGGTGAGTGGTTGATTATGGTGGTTGAAGCTTATCAAGTAGAATCTCCGCATACCAGGACAAGAAGCCATCAAACTCACTTCACAACCTACCGGCACTCCATCTGAACTACACACTCTCACTTCTGGCCCTTCCCCTTCTCTCGCCCCAATCGCTATAGCGAATGCTCGACTGACTGTACCTCTCACCATCGCCTCGTCGTCTCGCGCAGCCGATAAGCTCAAAGCTCAGAATGCAGCATTTGACAAGGAGCGCAAACAGCGTGCTGACAGAATCAATGGCAACGGCAATGGGAATGGAGCAAGTGCAGCACCGAGAACGAAAGCAGTTGAGCACCTCAGTGCACAGCAAGCGACACCTATGGCAAGGACGCAGAGCTCGCCAGCTGCTACTCAACCGATGATACCGCTCAAGACCAGGGTCATACAGCTTTTGGCACTAGGTCCGACAACCATGGATGATATGATGCATCGCGTGGGTGCGACGGAAGAAGAGGTCATGCGAGTTGTCAATGTCGTACGTCCCTACTTTCTCACTCCCTCCCTCCCGCCTAGAGGCCCCTGGACGCTGATGAGAGTATATCAAGGTCGGACGCAAGACATCTTCCTTGCCAGACAAATACACTCTCTCAGCCAACCAATACTCCAAAGTCAAGCTTGCGCAATGGAAATACACATACGCAGAACGGCGCACCGTAGCTACATTGGCACGCGCAGCATTCGACGAGCTGGGTTTACCAGCGGATGCGGAAGAACGAATAGAGCTTGAACGAAAGGAAGCAGAGGGATCAGGAAGCGGTTCGAGCAGCAGTGAAGAAAGACCTCCACCACCACATACTCCCGAACCCCAATCTCACCGACTACTGAGTCCCGCCAAACATTCCAAAGACAAGATACAGATTCCCAAGAGTGGTGGTGGTGGTGGATTGATCAGCAAGCAAAAAGCAAAGTTCGCAGCGGAGAAAAGGGCAACATCGTTACCTAATGTCAAGGAAGTTTTGGCCGGTCGAGATAAAGACAAAGACAAAGAAAAGCCACGAGTTGACAAGGATAGACCAAAGGCAAAGAGCAAGCTGGGAGAGGTTATCCAGCCAAAACGATCGCAAACTCCGGATGTAGGCAAGAAGCAGAAAGAAAAGCATACAGCGGGTGTAGAGAAAAATCAAAATCAGAATGGAGCGCATACATCTGATGTAGGGAAGAATCAGAAACAGAATGGGAAACGGAAAAGAGAGGATATACAAAAACGAGCTTCACCTGAAAAAAGGAAATCGCCAGAATATACTTCATCATCAGCCTCTTCATCCGACGAAGAACGTGGTCGACCAAGAGAACGTAAGTTGAGTTCAACGACGACGAATATCAAGACAACAAAGGTCAAGCCAGTACCAGTACCAGCACCGGTATCACGAGATACATCTTCATCTTCCACAACACCAGCACACGTACACGCACACGTATTACCATCTAGACCTAGAGCACTTGATAGTCCAATACCGAAACGAAATCCACCTCCTTCACCACTATCCTTAAGTTGCTCCAATTCAATTTCAAAGCCAGAACCAGAACCAGAACCAGAACCAGAACCACGACCACGACCAGAACAGCAGCGACAGATACCAGAATCAGAACCTCGACGACCTGGATCAGGATCAGGATCAAGACCAGAACCAGAACCACAACAACTTAGGGAAAGATATGACGAGCTTTTCCCAGCTTATCAACTTCTGACTAAACGTCTTGCAAAGGTACATGCAGCTGCTGAAGGAAGTGGAGAACCGGCTGGTGTTGGTGTAGAAGAGGTTGAGAAGATGGTTAGCAAGTGGGAGAAGTGGCATAATGAACTGGCGGGTATACGAAGATGGTTCGCGGAGGGATAGAGGATGGATGATGGATGACATGAGAGGTTAGTCACGGGAGATGTTGGTACAACAAAGAATGGACGACTACCTACAGGGACTCGAAGGTGGTTCGTCAGTAGAGGACGATTTGAGAGCATATTAAGGTGGTTCACAGAGGGATAGAGGGACGATTCGGAGGTTATATGGAGGTGACATAATGAGGAATAGAGGGACGATCTGAGGGTTATATGGAGGTGAATGAGGAATAGAGGGACGATTCGGGGGATATATGGTGATGATGTAATGAGGAATAGAGGGACGATTCGGGGGTTTGTATGGAAGTGATTTTATTGAGGAATGAAGGACCACAAAACGACAACAAGAATGGTCAGGCAGCATGTGGCAATCTGGACATACGGAGATGGTTTATATGAGGAATGATCAAACGACAAGATTCATTGCAAATGGAGCAAGCAGCATGTGCATGTGGCAGGCAGTTGGAGCATGAGGGACTGTTGTTGGTAATTGGATCAGTGGGGTAAATAGGGAGGAATCTATTGTGTTGTTGGTAACATGTAATGACATGATGACTCTTCATTATTCGCAGCAAAACGAGAAAGCAGCAGTAACAACAGCAGCAGTAGTAGCAGCAGCAGCAGCAGCAGCAGCAGCAGCAACAACAACAACGACAACAATACTTCTGGGGAGAGGAAAGTGGAAGACCAAAATAGGATGATAGATCAACAGACAGCCACAACAAGTTACACCTGTATGATTGTAAATTGTAAATTCAGCGACCAAAAAGTCTCAGTGTGTTTCATCGTGTTTCACTCTTTCTATCTGACAATTACAAAAAGCTATTGCACTGTATAATTGTGTGATTGTGTGATTATACTTGTAGAATCACGACAAGATATGTCTGAAGATCCATCAGGTTGGTCCCTTACCGAGTCTGATCCTCAGATCTTCACACAATTACTACTTGGCCTCGGCGTAAAAGGTCTTCAAGTGGTACGTCTGCTTTTTCCTCCCTTCTCCCTCTTACTTTCTCTTTCCCCCTTCTTACTTCCTTGCATGCAGGTATCCACTGCTTCATCATCTTTAATCCCATTTCCTGTCCCTAAATACCGTTGTACAAGAAACAAGAACAAGGCATGCTTGACTTAGACTTGCCAAAGGTCTTAGGATCATCTGTAGTCGGGTGGTTAGCTCGACTAACACTTTTAGGATGACTTATACTCGCTCGATCAAGAGACTTTAGCAGCCCTCAGTCCTATACACGCCCTCATCTTCTTGTTCAAGTATGTCGGTGAGGGAGAAGGCGCAGAACGCGGTGGTGTAGAGGTAGATGGTGGAGAGAGCGGCGTGTGGTTTGCGAATCAGGTGAGCTTTTAGTAACTCGGCTCGGAGGGGGGGGGGGGGGGGGGAAAGGTGTATTGCCGTACTTGGGGCGCTTCGAGGTTATGCAAAGGGCTTTGGCGCGCCCCAAGAACAAGACTTTATCCCAATCAAGGAGACGTTGGACTGGGGAGAAATGTCTATCCGACTACAGCGATACTAAATTACAAGCTGAACCAAACAAGGTGATCAACAACAGCTGCGGGACCCTTGCCGCTCTGAACGCTGTGAGTCGTTCCTCTATGGCTTGCATCCAGAGGCTTATTTTCCAAGGTCATGAATATTCCACCTGTGAAATCCCTTTATCCCGGCGAATCAATTGAGCTCGGAGTAAGTCTGTGGTTTTTGTTTTTGTTGTCATATTCAGAGACCTCGCTGTGCATGATACTAGAGATCTTGCTGATACATAAACACAACAGGCCGAGCTGGAAAATTTGCGCGATTTTGGCGCAGGTATGACACCCCTCGAGTACGTCTTTCCATCCCATCCTATCCCATCCCATCCCATCCTATACAGAGAACTAAGACTGACTGCTCACAGTCTTGGCCATGTACTCTCATCGTCTGACCTCATCCGCGAGACCCACAACTCATTTTCGAAATCTTCGCCATTCTCCTTGGACCCTTCAGCCAGCTCGTCTCGCGAGAAAGAAGACGCATATCATTTCGTCGCGTACATCCCCGTCACAGGCGTGTTATACGAGCTTGACGGGCTAAGGACAGGCGCTGTAATGCACGCTGCTGTCGATGAGGGTGAGAGTGAGGGTTGGCTGGCCATAGCACGCGATACGATCGAGCAGCGAATAGCTACTTATCCACCTGGTTCAGTAAGTATGGAACACTCACCATCCACGGCTCTTCTAGCTATGCTTGTTTTAAAAAAAGGTATCGCTGACGCTAATACCCATTCAAAAGGTCATGTTCAATTTACTCGCAGTACGGTCCGAGGCGATCCCGAGATTAACACGTCTGTTGAAGGATCCCAGCATAAGCGAAGGAGATAGATTACAGCTACAAGAACAGCTAGAGCATGAGCTGGTCAAGAAGGAGCGAGGACGCGTAGAGAACGCTTTGAGGCGCAATAATCTTCTCCCAGCTGTATTCGCCCTCTTGAAAGGTTTAGGGCAAAGTGGCACTATGGGTCAGTCTCTCTCTCTCTCTCTCTCTCGCAAATCAATACCAGTATTGTAACTTAGATGCTGATAAATTCAGGCAAGATCCTGGAAGAAGCCAGAGTAAAGGGACGGGAACGCAAAGAACGAGCGAACAAGAGAGGAGAAGAGTGATCAACTCAATGTCAGCTATTGTGTCAAATCTTACAATCATGCATGCTGGGTGTTGTCCTTCGACTTGCATATATGCATCTACAGAATGCATTCATCTGCGAATTGTATCAGAACAAGAATGCGCAAAAAAGAAATGATATGAGTGGGATTCGAACCCACGCCCGAAGACTGCGGATAGGATCAAAACCTGAACACAGCGCCATAACCACTCGGCCATCATACCCAAATTTAACCGATAATCTTTCTTCCGTGTATGTTCATATAGTCATTGCGAAAAGAATTCCACACCGTCGTTTGCGGGAAGCTCCAAATGGATGAGGGCCTGCCTGCATGCCGAACATACAATGCATCTGAGGCAGACTAATCACCACTGACTCGACAGCTCAACCTCCATTTCAAAATCAGTAAGAGCTACAACTATCGAAACCGAAATTACGACCAGCAAGAACAGTGTCCAGTGCTCTCTTTAGCTTCAAATTTATATCTTGAGCCGATGTTCTGTGTGCGTGTTCACAATCGTTCCGCTGATTAGGGTCGGGTTCAACTCAAAGGGAAATGTGATATCAGAACCGGAATGTAGAATAGCTCAACCAATTTGTCCTTTACTGGTACCGGATCCACTCGATGTCAAAGTAGATTCATTTTAGCCCCGCATTTAATTTTGCATCACATCTATCGCTTCCTAGGCCTAATGGTGCGCCTCATCCTTTGGCAGGTCCTGCTCCAAGAAGGTCAAGAACTCCTCAGCGCTCTCACCACCCTCAGTAGGAGCCGCGGTCGAGGTGGTCGTAGAACCGATCACAGGCTCTTCGGCGTCAAACTTGGAGAGCTCGCCAGCAAGGTCAGTGGGGAGCGCGGGAGGCTTGGGAGGCTTGGGCGCAGTGTAGTTGCGGACGAGACCGGTGTGGGCATCTTTGGCCTGTGAGTTGAAGTGGGTGAAGGGCAGTTGACAGAATCGTCGGAAATATACGGGGCGAGGGTCAAGTAGGCGAGATGGTGTTTATGGATTTTAGATAGTTGAGGAATGTATGATGAGGGTGTCGTGAAGATGGAAGAAGCGAATGATGGTTAGAGAGAGGGAGTGAACGGATTATAACCATTTGGGAGGGAAGGGCGGAAAATCAGCATCGGCTCCTAAAATCCGGATCGGACTGACCTGAGGAGCGGGCTTGTACGACTTCAATTGACCAATGTAGAGATCCTGGATGATATCTACCCAAATATGTTAGCGTGAGAATCAGTTAGAGACTGCCTTGATGAATACCTACCCTTTCGAGAAGCCGCCGAAACGGAAAAGGATCGGGACAATGAGGGAGCAGCTCGTCGAGCCTGCAAAACGGTCAGCGCATAGACAAAAGTGGTTGACAGAAGTACAGACACTTACACCGAGGCGGATGATAGAAGCCATTATGGGCGATGCTGGAACAAGGTTGATAGGAAAATGAGAAGACGGAGGACAGGGATGTTGAGGTTCGGAACTGCAAGGAGATGTGCGCCTAAATACAGAAGAGGCACAGAATGTCTCGCGGGCCTAGTCTGCCATCTGTTTCACGAAGAGAAGATCATCTTTCTTCCTCACTAAGCTCGCTCATGCATACAAGTGAGACCATATCCGTCAAGTAGACATGCAGACTACAACCATATCCACGAGCACTGGTGTGCAGCCGGAACGGCGAGTGTCAAAGCACTAGCTCAGTGAATTTGAGTCTGGCACCGGAACGCCATAGAACGTCGACATCCTGATCTATCATGCATTCATCTTCTTACTCAACAATCCTTCCAAGACTCGAGTCAGACCGTGTGAATAAGCCGTCCCTTTTATAACAAGGAGGGTGGCCGCCAGACGGCAGATGTCTCGCTCGTCTTCGACCCCCGCTCCGAAGAGACAGGGGGAGACGGTCAACGCTCTGCGGCCGAGGAATGTCATCATGTTTGTAACTACCAGCTCAGTCAGCCCATGTACTTGAACAACCCAATCGAGTCAACTCACGAATTGGAAGGATGAGAAAAGTCTCAACCTGTTTGACCGCTTGTTTCGACGGCGGAGGACTCTGTCAGTATCAAAGGCTTTAAATGCCACGCCATTGCGCACCTTACCCCGGTCATATACCAGTCTCACCAGCGGGTCCGGTCTAGATACCGATTACATAGCAGCTCAGGCCCTCATGTCGAGGTATGATGACTCGTCCCAGGAGCGAAGACTCAAGCGGCTTGCTTTGGAGGAGCAGCTTCGGCAGCTGGACGAGGAGGAGAGGTACGTGTGGGTGCAAGCACCCGCTAACTCTGCAGACGTGCATCGCTACCTCCAGGACGATTTCCTACCTCTTCAGCTCCGGTAGCATCGTCGAGCTCTCATCTCTCATCCTACGGTCATTCTTCTCAGTACCCTGCTGGATCTCAATGGAGATATGACCCGCAATCAAGCCGGGCAGCGCCAGCTCCGCTCCGCTCGACGTACGAGTCAGTGCGAACCTCACCTTCCACAGTGGATGCTGTTCCTCATCGGCCCTTGAATCCATCGACGCCACCCTCACTTCAACTACCCACACCTCTGACTGCAACTTATCACCATGTACCTCTGCCATCTCCAACACAAGTGCATGATTATCTTGTCGGCCACATGAAGCAGCCCAAAGGCCTGCATACGGGATGGGAGATCGATGGTCGGGTGATAGATGTATTTCGCCTGTTTAGCGCGGTGGTCGAGGCTGGAGGGAGTAGCCAGGTGAGTGTAGAAGACGAGGACTGTCTGATACTAGGTGACTGCGAACGAGCAATGGACGGCAATCGCCAATGCAGTAGGTCTTTCGTCGATCTCGTCCTCGAGTGGTATTGCCATCGCTCAACATCTGCGAGTATTCTTTCTCCGAACCCTTGGAGGCTTAGAGGTGCTATGGGAAAGTACCAAGGCAGCTGATGATCGCTCGCGTGCATCTTCGACGACTTCTACGACCTGGTCCAACCTTCCCGCCGCTCAATCCTCCTCCGCGCCTCAATCGCTACCGAAATCACGTCCATCCTGGGCACCTGCTCTCCCTACGTCCGCGTCCACGAAAGAACAACCCGGCAGTTCTCATTTGGCATCCCGACAGAACGTCTCCGAGCCACCAGGATTCCACCACGCATCAACCTCCTCAGAGGCTGATTCTTATTATGCCACCGGCGCTCGCCAGAGTATCGATGTGCAGCGGATGCAAGCTGTCCACCAATCGACAGTCTCCTCCCGTTTAGCGAATGCGAGTCATTCGGCGACATCTCATCATGCAGCGCGTACCACGCCGTCTGTGCAGCGAAGCTCCCACTTGTCTTCCTCCGCTGTGCCTCGTCCCGGGGCAGGCATCTCTCGTGTCCCCACCTCGTCTTCTCGAACTACTTCGAATCCTGAGTTCCACACAAGTAACAACTCGCAGACAATACTGCCTACCACCGTCAGTCCAAGTATGCTGATGCTGGGACGACCATCGTCTCCGAGCCATACACCAACGCCTTCATCGGCGACCCTGCATCGCAATGGGCATTTGCCACTCCAACCAGCTCCCTTGCACCTTCATAACGGTCATGCGGCCGAAACTGCAGCACAAGGATCGTCCTCGAGCCACCAGCCTGTTGAAAAGGTCGCTCCGCTGAACCGTGTTGTTGAGAATGGTATGCGGTTCAATCCGCCTTCCATAAAATCATTTGAGGATCTGGTCAATTCTGGTGCTCTTCCTCTCCCTAAGCCGAGTCCTGAGCTGCAGATCGACAATACCGGGACGCTCCTACAGCAGTATGCTCGTCGTTGTCACGAGCTCCGAGCGACAATTCGAAAAGGGAAGAGTGATGATGCCAGAAAGCTTATCTATGCTGAGATGGTATTCTGGAACAAATTGCGTGAGTCAGCATACTTGCTCCAGGCTGATGGCAGTGACAATCCTGAAGCATAATCCCCACATCTCCATTCCCAGTGTCGATGATCGCCAGGCTCAAACCAGCACCCATCCGGCCTCCCTCCATCAATCATCCCTCAACAACACTACAGCGACTTCCGAAGGTCTACCGACCACAATTCCCGCTCTTGGAGATCCTGGAGACCCTAAAGGGCCCGAACCAGGCAAGAAGAGGCGCGGCCGACCACCAAGGGAGCGATTGCCCGGGGAGAAGCCAGCGAGAATCCGGAAGCCGAAGGTTTATCCACCGGGTGTCGAGCCACCCGCCAAACGGCCTGTCATTAGACCACACAAGCAGGCTTCTATGGAAGGTGGAGAAGGTTCAAACCTGCCGGACGACTCAATCCAGCAAGCAGCGCCATTTTCGCCTCTCTTGGCGGGCACTCCAATCACTCTGGCGCATGCGATGGCAAATGGGACGAGCGAGGCAATTGACACCAATTCAATGACGGTATTGGCGGTATCACAGGCAGGGTTGGGTACGGTGGAAGCAGGGAAGGTCGTACAGTCAACGGAATCTAGTCAAAATGGCTCAACCTCACAGGTCTTGCCTCCGCCTCCTCATCTCACAGAAACGACTTCTTCTGCACACGATACTGCCCCGTCAGGCCCTGCGGCGCCAATTTCTAAGCCCAAGAATCCGAAACATGTCGAAGCGGCGAGGCTGAGATGGGTGAAACGGCGAGAAGCTCTCGGTCTACCTCCCAAAGAGCCTAGGCCGCCACGTAAGGAACCCTCGAATTTACCACGACCATCGGGAACACCTATCCGACGAGTCCAGGCCGTATCCAATTCTGCTCCTCCCAAAGCAAAGATTAATCGCCCTATTCACACTTCCGTTTTCAGCATTAAACCTCCTGGAGCGTATACTCGTGCGAGTGACTACGCGCGATCCTTACCAAGCAACACCCCTGCTGAAGTCCATGCCTATCCGCCTTCACAGAAAATCGATGAGACGCATTCACCAAGAAAGGTTATCTCGCTTTCATCCGGAGTTCATGTCAGCCGTGCTAAGTTGCGTTCCCAGGATGCGAGGACGCCTATTCGCGTGGTCAAACGCAGAGAGAGCTCAGCCAGCCTACCAGCCGTATCGACATCTCAGACCGGCCTGATCTCGCTAAGTGAACCTCGACTTGCTGTCAGCAAGAGCACTCCGAGTGTGTCTTTTGCTGCACAACCCAGTTCCGGTCCACCTGCCAAGCGGCCGAGGCCAATTGTGGAACTACCCATGAAATCTGCTCTGAAGCCCTTCACACCGATTGCCGCACCGTCAGGCTTGCTTCGAAATGGTCACACT